ACCTGCAATGCGGATGGGACTCGTAAACAATGCCACTGCGGTTCAATGGCGATCCTTTGCAGCTGTCTGGTGGTCTGGTGGTCTGGGAAATCTGGATGGACTGTTTGCTTCACAGTGTGTCCGGCCAAGCCAGCATAAATGACTGTTTGGGAACATGGCGTCGGCAGCCCGGCTCAGTTCAAATCACCACTTCATTTCAGCTCAGCCAAGAAACCACCCCCTTGAGCCCAAAATCTTGAAAATCAAGACGCGTAGGACATGGTTTGAAGGGGGAAACAAATGCAACTCATCCTCACAATGACAGTGGCTGGGTGAAGGCTGGTGTTCACTCACTGATTGGGAGGTGGACATTCCGAGGGCACTGGGTCGCCTGAGTCGCGCCTGCAGCACGATCGCACTTGCCGCTCCTCTTCACTGCTGGAGTTGTCACTTTGCAGTAGGGCGAGCAAAGCACGCGTAGTCCTGGTACCAAATGAAACGACAAACGCCTCTTGACAGCCTCGTGAGAGTAAGAAAAATTCAAGTTGTGCTCTGTGCAAATCAGCCTCAGTGAACCACCTGATTGCCTGGCCTGCTTGGCACTTGCAAGCGATCAAAGATGGACTCTAGCCGCAATAAGCAGATCGGCAGCTCGTCTTCCCTGCAAGGCACCTCAGGAAAATACCACTAACTTCCTCGCCGAGCCAAGGCCAATACTCCCTCGCACTCCCGGCCTTTGGCCCCACAGCCACATGTGCAGGAACGGCCAAGACTTTGAGTGCGTCTTTGACAGCCTCTTCATCCCAGTTTGGATCTGAAGGCGTGTTGTGCTCCTCTCTCCGCCTGCTGTTCCTGCAATGGAATGAGCCTAAAGTACAGTCCTACCCAATGCCTATTCCCGGCCTTGCCATGCCATTCACTTCCTCCTCAACGGCGTCCTGTGCAAACATTCAGTGCTTCAATGCTGGCATCCTCACGCAGACGCAATGTCCTCCTCTTCAGCATTCAGGCTGCCGTCGCCAAAGCGGTCGCCCTTCGGAACGCTACTGCCACTAGTGCGCTATATGTGCTGCAAATATCTGTAGCAAACTGTCAACGTTCCGGTTTGTCATCCTCAGAGTAGCATTAAAAGTGTTCAAAAGCGGCCAGGTGTTGATTGGGACAAAGCCGCATTCACTCTTATACTCTTTGTTTCTCTCTGCAAAGCTCATTACCCAGTGCGTCCGGGGTTCATGGCTTGAACGCCTCAAGTCGCGCCTCGCCAGACAGCAGCGAGGCTTCGAAGGGCCGGCTCTCAATGTCCAGCAGTCTCTCGGCAGCATCGGCGGTGGTGAGCTGGCCAGACAGGAGGTCTCGCCTCACGACGGTTACCAAATGCCCAAACATGGCCAACAACCAAGAAGGCGCACGACATGCCAAAGCCGAATGCCTGCTATCCCTGCCTCAGTGCTTCCAAGTCGGCTCTGTACAGGACAGCCAACTGCTGGGAGGGCGTGAGGCTGTTGCGCATGAGGTAAACACCTTGCAAACTCCCTCAACGTGAGAAAGCTGCAAGTCCATGAGTGCTCGGGGTGCCATGATGAAAACTCCATAAAAACTTCTGTCCGATCATGCCAGGTGACGTTCTGTGGTTCATGCACGGATCCCGGGCCCTATACGATGCCATGGGAAAGGATGACGTAGTACAGGTTGAACTAATTTGGCTGTTGCTCAAAAAGTGGCACCAATTTTGGGGCCCCTTGAATGGAAACAAAGACCAAAACCTGCGCAACCCCAGCTCTTTGATTTTGAGCCACACCCATTTGGGAACGAGCCATGCCCAAAGTACTTGCAGCCCTAGCCTGCACTTGGACGAAACGTCTGCGCTGTATGCAGACCAAGTTGCTTTTGTCACTTCGGCTGACATTCTCTGGGGCATTCTGAGTCAAGGCACGCGGGAAGGAGCTGGCCTGGCAATGAGCAGTGTTCCAAGCTCCCAGCATGTGGCAAGCTTGTCAAGGTGAAGCACACAAAACTTTGGTTTGCATGCAAGCCTGACGTCTTCAGGAAGGAACCTTTCTTGGCGTAGCCAACAAAGGGCCCTTTGCGCGACCCCATGCTCATGCTGCACTTGTGTTTCCCCGCGCCTTCAATCCAACGCTTAAAGGACCATCAGATCTGGTATCCTGCAGGGCCCGCAGCCATGTCAATCGTTTCAGCACTGATCAGCCACTTTGAATCGGGTCCCGATTTGTTTTGGGATTTTTCCGTGTTTTGTTTTGGGATTTTGTTCCTGGATTTTCTGTCTTGGAACTGGCAGGTGCGATCTCCCTTTGGTTCTTCTGTGGTTTGACTCGTTTTGCACCAGCGCTGTCAACATCCCCGAAAATCGTTTTAACTCGGCAGCATCCTTTTCAACATCCTCAGCATCACGAGTTGGATTTGTTAGGCTGGGTTGAGGGTGGGTTTAGGTTGGCTAGGGTTGGTTCATGGTGGGTTCCAGGCTTGTTTAAGGCAAGTTCGGGAGTGGCTGCGCTTAATT